ATCATAGATTAAAAGAAAAAATATTCAGCAAGGTTGCCATTACTATAAATTTTAAATTTTTTAACGATTTTGCAATTTAAATTTTTGTCAAAAATGCTAATATAACGTAGTAGAAAAAAAGAAAAAAAATGAAAAAATATAATAAAAATAAACACAGTTACAATTAATTTTGTATTTTTAATATAATATACTGTTTTAATGTCTTCGATATAGAAATGTTCACCAGTTCTAAAATTCATAAAATAATAAGCAGGGTTGCCATGTATTATATTTTTTTTAATTTTTGTACGATTTTGCTACTTAAAGTTTTGATAGCAATGCGTATAAAACATAGTAAAATAATTTAAAAAAATTACAGGGTTGCCAACTGTTGTACTTTTTTACATATTTTATTAACTCTTTTCATTTTTTTTTATTTTTATAATGTTATAAAATTCATAAAATAATTTTTCACTCCAAAATTTTACACTCGCCATGCTTATATATTATTCATTCTAATGCAGCTAATCTTAAACCTCAGGGGCGTATTTTACTGCATTTCATCCTTACTGAGATTTGTGCTTAAAGAGCGATTGACCGACCTGGCTGCATATGAAGAGCACTCGATATGAGTAGATATGTGCAGTTATTTCCGCTAAGTGAGGGGATTAGGACGGAGTAGACGTAACTACCGTAAATTCCAAAATGCTTCGAGGCAATAAGAGATTATACTGTCTTTGTTTATTCCCTTGTGGCGACAAGAGTATTTGCATTTAATTCTTAAATACTTTAATGAATGCAATAAGGTAAATTCAATTTGTTGCACAGCCAAGCAGGGATGCTCCAACTACTAAAGGAAGTGTGTGAGGGAAAAGAACGCATTGGTTTAGGTGAGAGTGAAGGCATAAGTCAGGCGGTTGATGCATGTGGGTGAAAAATAGCAGCAGCTAGCTTAATGATTGAGGTAGAGAGGGAAGTTTCGGGGTGAGAGGTAAGTGTTTGAATGTGCGAGGGAAATGTTTGGTTCAGAGAGTTGTCTGTGGAAAGAGAGACGAGTGCGGTAGAGCGTGTGTTAAGTCACCATGTGCAGTTATAAGGCGCATATGATAAATGAAGGGCAGCCAATAAATAAGTGAATGACCGTTCCTGTGACTGGACACTGAAAACCGTACTCACACATATACCCTTACATATTAGCATGATTTAAGACACCGCCAGCACGAAAACACACGAAGTTTATGATTTGTTGTTATCGTTTGTTGTTGTTGTGGTGCGGCTGTGAGATGCGCCTGTAAACTGTGTTTGTTTGCATAATGAAAAATACCCTTGGGACGTGTTAATACGGTAGCATTGTTGCTGCAGTTGGCAACTGTCTGCAAGTTCCCACACGTGCGGCACAAATACATACACCCCCGCCCACCTGCCTGGCATTAGCAGGCGAGCAAAAAGCATTGTCGCTAATGGTTTGTGCGCTTTTGTGGAGCGAGGGGCGGGTCGGTGGGCGTGTGTGGCAAGGATATGTTGGTGGTTATGCTTGGTTGGTTGGCTGGTTGAGACCGCCAGGGGGAATGCTGACATTACAAGGTTACAACGGCTGCCATAACAGTAACAAAAACAACAAGGACAACAACAAAAGTAACAACAATGCAGGCAACAAACTTCAGTAAATCTCTGTACATTATGCAGTAGCATAATCGTAGCGTTGGTAATATGAGGTACAACCATCTACGCCTCTCCTGGTAACAGCTAGCAGAGCGCTCTTTCGACAAGCACTTGCCACAACTATACCCACACATATACACACAATTCCATAGACGAACAGTCATTTTGCATTTAATGCGTATTTCCGGTGCGCTAATGGTTCGGTAGAGTTGAAGCGAGTAAAGGAGCGCAGTGCGGCGAGCTCTAGCACTGAATAACAGCTTCAGCCCAGCGCGGACAACCCAGCTCGCTGCGACATGCAAAATGCTTTTGTTGTTTGTAATATTTTCACTTTGTTTGTTGCTGCGCGTTGGCAAGCCGAGAAAGCGAAGAGGAAGTGGAGAAGTGAAGGCGGAGGAAATGCAAACGGATATATAAGGCAGCGTGCCTTGCTAAGGTTTGGCGGCAATAGCTCCTCTGCTTGTCATTGTTGCTTGCTAATATTACTGTTGTTGTTGTTGCTGTTGCAACTCGTGTGGTCGCTTAATGAAAGAGTGAGAGTGGGAGAGCGCTGTTGTTCATGGCAATGATGCTGCTGCGCTGCTTATTATTGCTATGGTTGCAATGCTGCTTGCTGGCTTGTTGCTGCAAAACGGATGCAGAGTGAAGGGAAGCAGGGGTATTAACGCAACTTCATCATTATTTCGCATTATGATTTAAATTAGCTTGTAGTTGCTGGGTAATGAAGGTGGTGACTCATAGTGACTCTGACATTGGAGTGTAATTTTCGGTGAGTAATCTGCGCGGAAGGTCTTCAAAGTTGCGGAGAAGATAGTAATTGAAACTTAAATGGCGGCAAGAAGGATCAAAACAAGCACAAAGAAATATTTTGCGTACTTTCGTAAAACAATTTTGTAAAGCGTACTATTAATAAAAAATTTCTATAAAAAAATTATAAAAAGAATT